GTTTTAGCCCTTTGACCCTCACACCCGTCCCTGTTTTCCTTTTATTTGTCCCAAGTAATTACTTGGTTTCCTGGCCTCAATGGACCCTCCCCATAGGCTGGGGGGAGGTCCTTTAGATGTGGATGGGCTAACACCCGCCCACCTCCCGGATTCCAATAGGCAGGGCAGACAAGGTAGAAGAGCTTACAATTTATTTCAATTTGGACACATTGTGATTCATATGGGAAGGGAGCAAGGGATTAAAAGTTTCTGTTGTTCTCAGGGGAAAATATGCACTACAATCTACATTGGTCAGGCAGACTATAGCATAGTGTCATAAATACATGGATATGGACATTTTCAACCTACATTTCCAGTTCTTCTTAACACATTTCCTTTTATACAGGAAGGGTAAAAGAGTGCAATTTAATAGTGACTGCTCCCTATGCCAGGTAGATCTTATTTAGTTAAGGGCATTATATATTGTAAACTGCAAATCTTATATAGTGTTGGAGTCATGAAGATTTGACACAAGCTACTTGATATTAGGGCTTACCCATTCACAGGTGCATGGTGGGATGCCACACACAATCTAATTACTGGGACTTATGGATCCCAGTGATCAAGACAATAGGGATTCAGATAAATACAGGAATTCCATAACTGTTTTGCACATGGATAGTAATATTTAACCTAATTGCATTTTATATCCTCTAATTCTTCCTTGTGATATTCCAGCAACTATAGGAATTTTTTGAGACATATCACATCTTGATATAAACAAAAAAGTGCATTTAGAAGCACAGGTCACCTCGTTGACCCACCTTTCAATTTCTGTACTAAATGAATTTTTCAGCATGTTGCTAAATTGGATTTTAAAATAGCATTTTCTGGATATATACATGATCAACAGCACAATAAACATTATAAATGTAAACATTTTCATAAATAGTTCTCCATATGTCTACCATTCGCAACAGATGGTATCTGTGTATCCACTAGATATACATGATGCAGTTTTGCCTTCCAATAATTCAAAATTCTAAACTAGAAAAACACCGTACACTAGTTAGAGTGTAAATGGTTAAATATTTCATCAGATCACCAACTCCTGATTGGGAAACAAATACTGCAACTTTACCCAGCATCAGCTAGTACAATCAGACCAGTCATATGTTCAGTCCTTATGAAACCCAATCCAAATGTTTTCCCACTAAGAAACTACTGAGGCCCTGCTGTAGACTCTCAGATGAACATGGTCTTCTTGGTCCCAGCACAGCAGCTCAGTATCTAGCATAGGCTCTAGCTACCTACAGGACAGTGTAACTGTGAGATAAGCCCCTGAGATGGCTTACGGGGTAACAATCAATCTTGACTGGGCTATGGCACATTCTGGTATCCTAACTGAGCTATAGTTTTCACCGGTTTGGCAGCAGATACTAGTGCAACCATAGGCATCAATCTCTAGATTTCCACTCCCACTCTGTCTCTTCCCCCAGGGTGCCTCCCTGTTATGGGGGGATACAATCAAATGGGCAGGTTCTGTCCCTCGCCTCATGTCCAGCCCCACTCTCTTCTCACTCCATGTATAAGTGGGAGGGGGGCAGAGTGGGTAGTGTAGGGGAACCGCTTTGACCTCCTACTGACCAGCCCCTCCCCCCAGCATATTTTCCTACTATCTATGGTGGGCAGAAGCCTCAGGAGTTTAGGAGGGAGCTGCTTTTAATGCCGGCTCTTCCTCCCTGGCAGCAACTACCTGAGATAGTCTGGCCAGGAAGGAGTCTTCCACTCCTTGCCTGTGCTCAAGTGCTGAAGCCCAGCACCAGAGCCAAGGCAGGGAGTGAAAGTCACCTCCCCAACCTGCCTCTCTCAGGCAGCTGTCATGCAGGACTGCAAGGCAGCATCTCAGCAGCTGGTCTGATCTGGAATACAGCTGATCCCGCCCCTTCTACTCATGACATCTAGGCCATATGATGTCCAGCCCTGCCCCTGCCCTGCCTCTTCCTTCCACCTGCTCTTCCCTCCCCAAGCCTCCAGCATTCCACCAAACAGCTGGTAGCAGCAGGCAGGAGACTGGGCAGATGCAGACGAGCTGACTGATAGGGTCCACTGCTGGTAGAAGGCACTGGGCAGTGAAGGAGAGACCTGCCAATGGATGCCCACAGAGCTGGCATCCATGTGTACAACCACATTAAACTATTTGCCACACTAAATTATTTGCCACACTAAATTATATGGTAAAATGAGCTCCCTTGATATACTATATAACAGCCACATGTACCACAAGCCCACCAACCAGCTGAAGATATCCAGGTAGACATGACATCTGAACTCACATCTGAGAAGTGACCCTGAGGAAGGTGAAACATCCAATGTCCTCCTGTAACAGCTACTTGCTGTTATGTATCTTGTGTATCATGTTGGTTTATTAAGCATGATCAGGTTGTTGACTCCTCTTCAAATTTTTCTGGATAGCAAGCTAGATCACACTTACACTAGATCCTCCGTGGTTGCTGTCCACTGGCCAGCTACTAGCCAAGCAAACTTTATTATGAACAAAGAATTTGGCAAGTCAACCACCAGCTGAATATGCTGTACCTAACATCAAATCAAGGTTTGGGCCAACTTTGTCTAATAAAAATGATATTGTTTGTATATTCTTCTACTCTCATTTATTTTTTCCTCCGTACTGCTACTCTTTTTGACCTTAGTGATTTGGGGTGAAAATTCCCTTTGCCCATACAGATTCTCACTCATGTGTAGCTTGTTTATGGAGCAATGGCTCACATTGTTTTACTGGTCTTTCTCAAAAACAGCTTGTTTATTTATGTTTATCCTGAATGAAGGGCAGCTATTATGACCACCAACTTAAACAAGGCTTCACCCAACCATGAGGAGAACAGTCGATTATATCACAAATATGAAAACAATACAACTGTTCACATTTACAGTAGCATGCAAATTAGCAGTTTTATTTTCTAAAATAAATACTAAAGAAACCTAAAAGTATTTCTTTTAATTTGTGTGTGTGCGTGAGCAAGCATATGCTAACATCTGAATGGAGATTACATTTTAAGAGTGCTTTAAAAAAGCAAATCCTTTCAACAGGGCCATATTTTCAAGTGCATAAAAGGTTGTTACAAGGAAGAGGGAGAAAAATTGTTCTCTTTAATCTCTGAGGATAGAACAAGAATCAATGGGTTTAAATTTCAGCAACGGCACCTTAGGTTTGACATTAGGAAAAACTTTATAACTGTCAGAATGGTTAAACACTGGAATAAATTGCCCAAGGAAGTTGTGGAATCTCCATCACTGGAGATTTTAAAGAGCGGGTTAGACGAGCATCTGTCAGGGATGGTCTAGATAATACTTAGTCCTACAATGACTGCAAGGGACTGGACTAAATGAACTCTCAAAGTCCCTTCTAGAGTTTAGGAGTATATAATTCTGTATCACAAAGAGTGCAAATGTATAGAATATACAGACAAATGTTCAAAAAGACAATGGAGTAACATGTTTGCCAGGGTAAACAACTGAAATCAACTAATCATTTAGCAAACTGCAGCAGATACTTTTGCTATTGAAATTTGCAAATAGTTCAAAGCTGAGAAATGTATCAATTAAATAGATTGTTAAATTATTATTAGAGGCTGCAGTTCTAGTTTGACTATCTTGTGTATTAAAGCTAGGACATTCACTTTTGCAAAGTAAAGCTCTAAAACAGTTGTTCTCAAACTTTTTGGCTCAGGGCCCACCCTTGACAACACCAGCCTTTTCACAGTCCACCAGCTAACCACCCACGATGACAAAATGAGTGCCGGCGACAGTGGGGTCTGGGATCTGGCTGGGAGGTAGGGTGCAGGAGAGGGCTGGGGCTGGGGGAGGGTCTGAGTGAGAGAGAGAGAGGGTGCAGGAGCAGGGTGAAGGTGCGGGAATCTGGGACAGAATGAAAGAAGGAGGGAGAGAAAGACGGTGTAGGAACGAGGTGGGGAGGAGGAGGAATGAAAGGGATGGATGGTGCGAGAGCAGACAGAGTGGGATGTCTGACAGAGAGGAAAGGAGGGTGCAGGAGTGTGGTGGGGCAGGGGAGGTCTGGGTGGGAGGTTGGGTGCAGTAATAGGTTAGGGATGGTGGTTTGGCCAGAAGATTAGATTCAGGAGAGTGTTGTGTGTGAGGCAGTCTAATCGGGAAGGAGGGTGCAGGAGCGGGGTAGGAGTGTGGGGTCTGGGAGAAAGATAGAGTGCAGGGGTGGTGTGAAGGGGTCTGGCTGGGAGGTAAGGTGCAGAAGCAGGTTGTGGGTAGGGGGGTCTGAGTGGGAAGGTGGGCGCAGGAGTGGGCTGGGGGTGGGGATCTGGCCAGGAACTTGGGTGAAGAAGTAGGTTGGGGGGGCTTTGTGGGAGGGAGGGTGCAGGGTCTTGGGATTAGGGGAGTTCGTGTGGGAGTGGAGGTGTTGGGTCTGGGCATGGGGGGGGAGGGATTGCCCATGATTTTGGCTAATGGGAGCAGTGGAGAAAGCCTCCAGATGAGTGTTTTCCTGAGCTGCCATTCCTCCCAGCTGAGGGGAAGGAGAGTGGCAGCTCACAGAGCCACTTCCCCCTCCTGCAAGCCAGATTCAGTGCGGGGGAGCACATGGAGTTGGGGGAGCACCACCGCAAGCTCCCTGCTGGGCTCAACTCCCTGCTGCAAGTTGAGCCCAAAGCCCATGGCCACCCTCCTATTGTTAAGAAAACTAGGTCAAAGTTTTTATGAAGGCTTGATCTGTTAATACAGTAAACAGGGTTATCCCCTAACAGCCAATTAATTAATCTGGCCACTACTTGCAGGTTCAGGGACAAAACTTGTCCCTATCTCAGTTAGTCAGTAACTAGGTTGGGGAGATGTTTCCCTGGTAAATGAATCCCAAAAGCATTTTTTGCTCACTTTTTCCTACTGGAGGAGCATCAGCAAAGCATACTTAGTGTCAGACAGATGGAATTTAAGCTTAAAAAGGGAAACAGAACTGTCCTCACCGTGGACAGCTTGATGAAAACATGTATCCTCATTGTATAGCAGCAGCTGATAAAGGAATTAAAATGTTACAATTTGTTAAAGAACATGATAGACTATAATACTGTAAATAGTATAGTGGTCTCATTTTAAATAATGTGTTCAGTTTAGTTCCTGTCATCTCAATAAAGACACAGCAAAAACTGGAAGAATCCAGAGAAGGTCAATGAATGGAAAGACTTCCAAAATAGGAGCAATGATAAAGATTCTAACAATTCAGTTTAAAAAGGAGACAAAGAATCGATGACATGGGAGAGGTATATACAGTAATGGGTAGTGTAGAGATGGTAAATCAGGTGTTCCCATTTATACCCATCATGCAAGGACACGAGGATAACTAATTAAATTAGAAGTCAAGGGGAAGTTGGAATGGCTTTACAGACCAAGTTCCACCTGTAAATCACACAAACCCACCTGTAAATCACACAAATCACACTGCCTTTGGCTCATAATGATGAAATCAGCAACCAGGACAGAATAAGAGCCAGTCTCAGCTGCTTCATTTTAACTGAGGGCAGTTGTAAGCAGTAGTAGAGATTCTGATATTAAAAAAAAAAGATAAATATTTCATACCTAAAAAGGGCAGAATTAAGGATGAAATATGAGAGTAGTCTCCATTCTTAGTCGATCTCTTAGCCAGTGAAATAAGCAGATTGCTTAAAATAATGGTATTTCTCTGAAATGGGGACATAATATAAGCTTCACATAGTCTGATGCATAAATAGAGAAACAGGTAAATGTAAAGATTAGAGCTAGAACAGTGCCAGATATTTCCAGTTGAGTTCAACATCATAGGGCAAATATAGCTCCCTAGTTTATGCAAACAGTAAATTAGGAAATTGTACTTACAGGTTCAAGAGAACATAAGATGTAAAATATTTTAGGAAACCAGAATCTTTGAGATATCTGCCTAAAAGCATGGAGTGCACCTGAGTATCTTACTATAAAAAATGTGGATATTATTCATGCTCTGACTTTGAATGTGTATATATATATATATATGGAAAAAGCAGCTGAATTCCACTGAAACCATGCCTTCTCAACAGATCTGCCTCTAGAGAAGTAGTACTGGAGTCTGAGAAGAGAGATTCAAATAATAGCAGTATGGTTTCAATTTTTTGTTACAGTTTCATATAGATTCTTAGATCAAAATGGGGGGGGGGGGAATTCTCTTAATCAGTTCAGCTTCTCCTTTATAATAAAATCCTACTATTTGTCTGCTGAGCACCTTGAATCCAGGCTGAACCAATATACAAGTTTCTGCCCAATGGGTAGCATTTCTCTGGAGTTGTTTATGTGCTCCAGATTTTCCCATTTATTTTAGTTCTTGGGGAAAGCTCTACCCAATGGAGTAAGCATACTATCCTTAGCTCACAAATATACACATAACATTTACAGATATACAAGATTATGAATAGTCCCTTTGCCCTTAGCATCTGGCACATCTCAATAAAACAATCTTTTCAGTTTTCAGAGCTTTCGCATCTGTCATACAACCAACATATAACAAATCAATATATTGAAAATAACAATTAGGCTACGTCTAACACTGCAACGCTATTTTGGGATACCGGAGTATCCTGAAATAGCTATGCCACATCTTAACAGCAAGCCCGTTATTTTGGGCTCACTATTCCAACATCCCTGTAAACCTCATTCCACGAGGAGTAAGGGATGTTTCAGAATAGCATTTTATTTTGAAATTTGGCATTGTGTAGACAGTGCCAAATTACAAAATAAGCTATTTCAAAATAAGATTGAAATAAGAGACACAATTGGTGTACCCTAAATTGTGTATCTTATTTCAAGCTGCAGTGCAGTATAGACACACTGTTGCTGAACAAGTCACGGTTTCTGCACAGCCTGGTCTAGAACTCTGATCTATCACTTCGAAAAGTCACAGATCACCATCATGTCAGCTACAGAATATCTAACTAGATGTTATTAGCAGTAGGTACCTTTAACCTGTTCATAGACTAGCAAATAAAGGGTAACTCTACACATATAAAATGAGGACATACATATTAGAAAGGAGCATCCATTTCTCCAAAAGATATCTTACTTTAATACAATTAGAGCTCAGAAGCACCTTAGAAATACCTTAAATATATGAGAGAAGATTTACCATGCATACTTAAATTGTCCTGAACCAAGGACAAAATTACTATTTTTGTTGTATCTGATAGGATAAGACATAAATGCTGCACACAAATCCTACCTGAAAAGGATTTACAGTATTTTACTGTAAATGCACACCTCTCAACAATTGATGTATTTTAAGAATACATTGCTTTTGCACTAAATATCCTTCCCTTTCATTAAACACTGAGGTTTTTAAAAGGCAAAAATATCATTTTAAAGAGGAACTGTTAGGACTCAAGTAACATTTGTGTTGAATTATTTTAAAATTGTTTAAATAATGTTTTTGTGCTATCACTCACATTTGCTATGACATCACTGAATGTAGACCTTCATCTATTATTTTAACAAGCATTCCCCGGAGTTCTGTACTACACAGCTGAAATTTATGAGTATTATACATGTGAAAAAGCAAAGTATTGTTCTTATTACTGTGTAAAGTACTGCTTATGGACAATGGCAAACAAATTCTGGTATCTTAAACAACCCATGGGCTTTTATCATTTGACTTTATAAAAATTATAAACTGTAAATTACACATTTATCACCACAAACCCAATCCAGAAAAAAATCTTTTAGACAGTTGCGAGACTAAAATTCTGTAGTTTAAAATTATATTTCCCAATTATTTTACAAATCATGTCAAAATTAACTTTGTATGATCCATTTTAAAATAAAAATGATAACTGGACTCTTTAGTCAACCTATACAAGAATCTTATTACCTGTGTGCCAGCAGTGCCCTGAAGGTCATTTGATTCAATCCCAGATAACTTGGCAGCAAGCTTGACCAATCCCAGTTCCACTCAGTAATGGCTGACTGTTGAGGTATGGGAAGAAGCTATTGTTAGTTATTAATCAGAGTTAATATGATCAGTAAATTAAAGCTCCAGCTGTGATAGACTAACTAAGAAGGAATGGGGGTCTAGAACAAGGACTTAGACAGATGATATCAATCATGTACACAGAAGAAGGTTTTATTTCCAATAAGACAGCAATTAATTTATAAATTCATTTGGGGATGTGGCCATTATTTATAAAAAGATAAATCAATTTTTTAGTCGTTATTCTTCCAACTGTTAATGGCATTTTGCCCAGACACTTTTTCTGAGAGCTTGACTCTATTTGAAAAGCAAAATAATTGGCAACTTTTTATGTATTGAAGCAATTTACATTTTCTACTGTCAGCAAAAAGTTTATCAAGAGAAAGAACTTGATGTAGCTGGAATTCATGCTGTATCTTAATTAGTGTGAGATATTTTACTTGACTATTGTTATATAAGGTATTGCAGTCACCATATGTTTATTATAAATACTGTAAAATACAGACAATGTGAACTCAGGTAAATGCCCTGTTGCTTATTTAATTAATAAAATCTATCCTACAATAACTGTATGGAGACAAATGACTATGTACAACAATATCATGCTTACAAAGCTGTACTTTGCTGCAGTATAACATTAACATTTTTAATAATAGTTCAGCCAAACAGGAGAAGTGACCGTAATACTATTAAGTTCAATATACTTGGGAGAGGGATCATTCTAAAAATTAGTATGGTGAAACTAAATTTGTCTAAGAATTTAAAAAAATGAGGAAGCTAGTCAAAATTGGGGAAATAAAAATCCTTGTGATTCTGAATGGAGGCTACTTTTCCATACCATAATAAATAGTAATAGGAGTTATGTAAAACCCTAAACAAAAGAGGGAAGGCAAATACTCATATATATTTATATCATATATATATAAGGCTAAAAGACAAGGTTCAAGAGCTTATTTAAGCTATGCAAGTATCCTTCAACAGAGGGGCAGGGAGGACAACAAGCTTGCCAGGCCCCTGGGCAAGTTGAGGTGGGGGACTCTCCCAGAAAGGGTAGGGTCTTGGGCAGAAGGAGCAGGGCTGGGGGCAGCTAGCCTTCAGAGCTGCCCAGAGTGAGCCACCCTGGGTACCTCCTCCCCAGTGCAGCCACCACTACTCCTGTGGCAGTGGCGGCCAGGACCCCCAGGCCCTTTTGAATTGCCCAGCTTAGGGCCAACTACTCCCTTCTGTCCACCCCTACCCATCAGCAGGCCTGTCCAAAAGAAAACGGAAATTCAGCCAGTGAAGCCAGTAAGAAGTAGTGTAACAAACTGTAGCAGTCAGAGATTACACAGGGACTGAACAAAGACATTAACTGAATGGGCCATTATATACAACACCCAAATGACATCATGACTATTGGACACTTACAGCCCTCTCTACCAGCCTCATTTAGCATGGACACCATAACTGACAGAGGTTTTTTTCCTCTTCTCCCACTTTGCTCTTTTTCTGCTTTAAATTTTTGAGGTTTCCGTGCCCCTCTGTGCCTCTTGCTCCACTGATCTGTAGAAATGGGTTGTGCCCATGAAAGCTCATGATACTATCTATGGGTATGTCTACACTACCCCCCTAGTTCGAACTAGGGGGGTAATGTATGCATACCGAACTTGCTAATGAAGCCCGGGATTTGAATTTCCTGGGCTTCATTAGCATAAAGCCGGCTCCGCCATTTTTAAAAGCCGGCTTGTTTGAACCCCGTGCCGCGCGGCTACACGCGGCACGGGCTAGATAGTTCGAACTATGTAGTTATTCCGAACTATCTGTACGCCTCGTGGAATGAGGTGTACAGATAGATCGGAATGGCTACATAGTTCGAACTATCTAGCCCATGC